CTCGCTTCGGCTTCGATCCAAACCGCTGCTCCGTATCGACCACCACCACCACCACCATCCGTCACGAATACATCGATCGTCGGTCTGCGTGACCGCATCCCCGCCCCCGCCATGTCCAGGACACGCGAGGCGAGCGGCGCTTCAACGCCCTCCCTGGCCAGCAACACCACCTCCGTACAGGTCGCCGTGCGCATCCGTCCCGTCACCTCGGCAGACCACTCCAACATCCCGCCACGATGGCAAAAGAACATCCTCACCCCCACATCCGCCAACAGCGTCACCGTCGAACCCGGCTCAGCACCCCCCGCTGCTCCATCCAGCGCAGCAACCGCCTCCTCCTCCTCTTCCTCCTCCAGCCAGTCCCGCGATAAGCGCCAGGCATTCAGCTTCGACCGCGTCTTCTCCCCCGCAGACGGTCAGCCACAGATCTTCACCGTCGCAGAACCCCTGATCGACCGCTTCATGGAAGGCTACAACGTCACCATCCTCGCATACGGTCAGACCTCCAGCGGCAAGTCCTACACCATGGGCACAGCTGCAGGCGACGACATCGACTACGAACCCCTCGTCGCCGGTCGCGCACCAGACCCGCAGATGGGCATCATCCCACGCGCAGTCGCACGCATCTTCTCCGCCATGCGCAACAGCAAGTCGTCCGCCATCCAGTACACCGCCAAGGTGAGCTTCATCGAGATCTACAACGAAGACCTCATCGACCTCCTCGGCGACGCAATCGACGGCGACTCGCGCCCGCACGTACAGATCCGCGAGGGCAAGAACGGTCAGATCATCTGGAGCGGCCTCCGCGAGCTCAAGGTCAACAACGTCGCAGAGGTCATGAACCACCTCCTACAGGGCACCTCCGTACGCAGGACCAACGAGACCGACATGAACGCACAGTCCTCCCGCTCCCACGCCATCTTCTCCATCACCCTCACCCAAAAAAAGTGGCAAGGCTCCGGCCCGCCTCCCAATTCCGCCGCGCCGCCCTCCAGCTTCGGCGCCGGCGGAAGGAGCACCCCGGCTGGCCGCTCCGTCTCGAGCCTTTCGCGCGCCTCGGGCATCCCCATGGCCGGTCGCGTCGCATCGCCCTCCTTTGGCCGCAGGACGCCCAGCGGCATCCCAGGCCTCAGCGGTCGCGCCTCCTCCGCCGGCCTCCGTCCGGCCAGCGTGGCCGGCGATGTCGGCGGCGGCGACGACTCGGCCAGCACAGACGGAGAGTGGATCACCGTGACCAGCAAATTCCACTTTGTCGACCTCGCAGGCTCCGAACGTCTCAAGCGCACCGCCGCACAGGGCGACCGCGTCAAGGAGGGCATCTCCATCAACTCGGGCCTCCACGCGCTCGGAAACGTCATCTCGGCGCTCGGCGACCCCGCAAAGGCAAGACGCGCCACCCACATCCCCTACCGCGACAGCAAGCTCACCCGTCTCCTCCAGGACAGCCTCGGCGGCAACGCGCACACGCTCATGATCGCCTGCGTCTCGCCCACAGAGTACAACGTCAGCGAAACCGTAAACACGCTCCAGTACGCAAACCGCGCGCGCAACATCAAGAACAAGGCAGAGCTCAACGAGGTCGAGGTCGGATGGGACGACATCGACTACCTCCAAACTCTCGTCCAGCGTCTGCGCAAGGAGCTCAGCCTCATCAAGGGTCTCGGCAAGGGCCAGATCGACCTCGACGACCCGCACAACAAGGACGCGACCCGCTCTACGCAGCGCGAGATCTTGGCCTGGCAGGACAAGTACGCCTCCTTGAGCCAGAAGCACTCGCAGCTCACCGCAGAGGTCACCCAGCTCCGCACGCAGCTCGACCCGTCCAACCAGGACGGCACAGAGCAGGACTTCTTCCGCGCCGCGGAACCCATCATCGTCGAGTACGAAAAGTCCATCGACGCGCTCGAGGGCCAGCTCAACCTCACCAAGGCCGCGCTCGCCTACGTCGAAGACATTGCCAACGAGCGCGAGGCTCAGATCGAACAGCAGAGCTCCCAGCTCGAGATCATCGCCACCGAGCTCGAGGACAAGGAGAACTCGGTGGCAGACCTCCAGTCGCGCCTCACAAAGCTGCAGGAGCGCGAGTCGTCGGCGAACACGTATGCGCGCGAGCTCGAGGCGCGTCTCGAGGCCATGGGCTCGCGCGGCGACACCGACTCGGCCACGCTTGCCGGACTCAACAAGGAGATCGCACGCCTCAAAGAGGTCGAGTCGAGCTCCGAACACTACATCCGCGATCTCGAGGCCAGGCTCGCCGCGTCCGAAGAGTCGGCGGCCAGCCTCGCGCGCAAGGTGGCCCAGATGGAGGCCGATGCGGAGAAGCGCGACGACGAGTATCGCAACCTGCTCTCGCGCTTCGAACTGCTCGACACGGGCAAGGAGACAAAGGCCATGGCCGCAGAGCTCGAGGCAAAGCACGCAGAGCTCACCCGCCTCGAGGCGAGCCTCGGCCATGCTACCGCCAAGCACGACAGCCTTGCCGAGCGCTTCGACCGCCTCACTGGCCAGCACGACCAGCTCGCCAGGGCTGCGCACGATCACGAGCAGCAGAAGCAGTCCCTCTCGCACCAGATCAAGACGCTCCAGCTCGCAGCGGCAGCGGCAAATGCGAGCACCGAAACTCCTGCCGTCAGCGAAGACACGCACAGCAGCACAGACAAGGCCGCAGCGACGCTCGAGCAGCGTCTGCTCGATCTGCACGAGGAGATGCGCGCCGTGCGTGACTCCGAGTCGAGCATCCGCGCCGAGCTCGAGCTCACCAAGCAGAAATACAACGAGTCGCTCGCCGACATCAACGAGCTCAACTCGCAGCTCACCGAGATCAAGCTCAACGGCGGTGCGCCCGCACATCTCGACGACGACTCGTTCAAGCTCGACAAGGACGCAGGTGGCGACGACGAACAGGTCGAGGTGCTCGACTCGCGCGGCGACGAGAATCAGCCGCCGCAGACTCCGGGGCGCGGCAGTAGCTCGCAACGCGGCCTCTCGAGCCGCCGTGCGAGCCTGCTGCTCGACACCACCAACCGCCAGTCGCCCAGCCCATCGAACCGCCTCACGCGTCGCTCCTCGGGCTCTTTTTTAGGCTACAACAAGAGCGACGGCACCCGGTCAACAGCCATCTCGCCGCTCGCTCACACGCGCACGCGCTCCATCTCGCAGTCTTCGTCGCTGGACTTTGCGTCGGCCTTGCCGTCGCAGCTGGCACAGACGCGCGGGCCAAGACCGCTCTCGCTCACGGGATCCGTTCCGCCCTCGCCTACCTTGAGGGCGTTCGAGCCCGATTCAGCGGCGAACTATGAACGCAAGGTGGCGTCGCTCGAAAAGGAGACCATGCGGCTGCAGGAGGCGCTCAAGGACCGTGATGACGAGATCCAGGCGCTCGAGTCGACGCTGCGCAGCCGCAAGGACGAGAATGGCGACCACCAAATGTTGGAGGTGCCCGCAGCGGCAGCAGGCGTGGAGGCGGGCGCGCTCACGCCCGCGACCGAGAAGGATCTCGAGGCGATACGACGCGTCATGGCCGAGGGAGCGGCGAGCGACACGGCGCAGGCCGAGAGTGGCACGCAGATGCTCGACGACCTCATGCGCTCCATGGCGCGCAAGGAGACGCAGCACCGCGAGACCGTCGAGACCATCACCGCCGAGCTTGACGCGGTCAAGAGGCACAACGAGACGCTCGAGGCGCTGTCGCGCGACCAGATGGCCAACATGTCGCTCGAGATCCAGCAGCTGCGGGCACAGCTCGCCGCCAAGCACGCGCCGGCGGACGGCGCCGTGCCCACGTCGAGCGCGAGCAACCGCAGCCTCGCCGACGAGCTCCAGGATGCGTCGGCTGCCGAGGTCGAGCAGGAACGCGCGGCAGACAAGGCCGAGCTCGAACGACTCAGGGAGGAGCATGCTGCCGAGGTGGAAGAGCTCAAGCAGCAGCACGCCAAGAAGCTGCAGGAGGCGGCTGAGCAGCATGCGTCGGCGCTCGGCAGCAGCGCGGATGTGACGGCGGAGCTGGAAGCTGTTCGCAAGCAGCACAGTGTCGAACTTGCGCGCTCCAGGGAGCAAGCGGATGCTGCCGCCGCCCAACATGCGGCGTCGCTCAAGCAGGCGTTGCAGGAGCACGCGGCGCAGATCGACGCGCTGCACGCCAGCCATGCCAAGTCGGTGGAGGCGGCGACGATGGAGCTCGAGGCGCAGCATGCGTCTGCGCTTGCGCTGGCGGTGCGCGAGGCCGAGGCTGCGGCGCTCGCGCGGCACACGGCCGAGCTGGATGCCAAGGTGTCGGCGCTGCAGAGCGAGCACGGCGCCAAGCTGGAGCGTGCGGCGCTGGATGTGCAGGTGGCGAGTGGCGACCGCGACGAGATGCGGCAGGCGTACGAGGAGCTGCACAGCAAGCACGTGGCGCTGGCGAGCAAGCTGGACATCGACCCGCACGAGGTGGAGACGCTGCGTGCGGAGCTGAACGACACGAGCGATGCGCTCGTCACGCTCGAGGCGGCGTTGACCGAGGCGCAGGAGGAGCGCGACCAGCTGCTGATCGAGATCGAGACGATGCGCCAGGAGAGCGAGGCGCAGCAGGATGCGTCGGTGGTGTCGCAGGGCGGTTTGGTGGCGGCGACGACGCCCAACGCAGCGGCGG